GTCCTGAATTTTAGGTTCTGGATCTTGTTTGGTGTCCCGTAGTTCTGTATTTGGTACAACCTCTAATCGGGGCCTGGAATTCCCCCCATGCCATTCAGCAAATACATTAGTTGTCTGCAGTTTGGCTTCCCTGAGAACTGGAGAAGGGATTGCCCTGAAGTTTAATAGTCTTTCTTCTGATCCTGCTTTACTCTCACTTGCTTGGGGGATACATGCATTAAGTTCTGGGGATGTTTCTGTTTTTGTTCCCTCAGACGTACGTGCACTGGTTCCCACAGGAGCAGGAGAGGGGATTTCCCTAAGTTCTAATGTACCTTCTGATCTTGTCTTGCTGTTATTTGCTGAGAGAACATCTGTGCTAGGATTAAGGGACTTTTCACTTTTTGTTCCCTCAGTTGTGCATGGATTGGTTCCCACAGGAACAGGAGAGGGGATTTCCCTAAGTTCTAACGTACCTTCTGATGTTTTCTCTGCATCATTTGCTGGGAGGCCATCTGTGTCAGGTTTAAGGGACTTTTCACTTTTTGTTTCCTCAGCTGTGCATCCCTTGGCTCCCATAGGGACAAGAGAGGGAATTCCCTTCAGCTCTGACTGACTTGTTTCTGATCCTGTCTCACTGTCACTTGCTGGGAGGACAGCTCTATCAGGTTTAAGGGACTCTTCCTTTTTGGTTCCCTTAGCTGTGCAGGCCTTGGCTCTCTTAGCAACAAGAAAAGAAACTTCCATCAGCTCCGCTTGACTTGCTTCTGACCCTGTTCCGCTGTCACTTGCTGGGAGGACCTCTACTGTCCCCCCAGCTGTGCAAGCCTTGACTCCCATGGGGACAGGAGAGGGAATTTCCCTGAACTCCAATGGACTTACTTCTAATTCTGTTTTTACTGAGGCAACGTCTACATTTGACTGAAGCGAGTTTTCTGCTTCTGCTCCCATAGCTGTGGGTTTATGCAGTCTAAATTCTAACTCTGGTTCTTCTGCTAGTTCTTCTCTCTGTTCATTCCATTCTAATCTTAATTCTCCTGGCCCTACTGCTGGCTTTCTCCATTCAATGTCCAATGCAGCTTGTGGTTCTTCTGCTCCTTCATCTCGGTGTTCACTACCTTTAGCTTCCGTTTCTCCTGGTTCTTCTCCTGGTCCATCTCCTGCTCCTTGTTCATCCTGCCCTTGCAGTTCTCTTCCCTCTCCCTGCTCTTTGTCCACCTTTCCATACCTGTCACACAATACCTGCCAAAAAATTACAATTACAAGGAGAAGGCAAGATGAAAGAATAAGAAATTCTCATGCATGTGAGTTTACTGGGGGTCTGAGATGCATTAACCCATTCGCCCCAGATTTATGTTCTGTCCCCTGTAGTTTTTGGTGAATTTTGTTACATACAGATGGCTCCACATGTGCTCAGCCGGCAAGGAGTCTATCAGTAGGCCCTAGTTACCGATCCTGATTTTCCCATTCCTTGAATTGGTGTTTTTTTTTTATTTTTTTTATTTTTTATTTTTTAATACCATTGCTATTGATACTGTTGTTATTGTTATTGATGTTATGATTATTAAATTGTTATTAACATATTTTAGACAATGAAATAATACAAGACCCTTTCCTAAAGTGAAAGAAAAGGGCAAACAGGTGAGACAGATAGTTCTGATAACTGGCTGTTTCGTGATTAACCCATTGCCGCCGGGGAAAATGAACAAAAAATGGGGGAAATGCAGTACTCATTTTTTATATTTTTGTGAAATATCTCTGTCCATAGATGGCTCTGCTAGTCCTGATTTCACCGTTTATTGAATTGGCGGGAAAAAACGTATTTTTACTAGTGCTATAAATATAGATGGTGTTATTTTTAACAGCAAATTAGGATAACGTTAAGTATTTTCATAAATCAATGAAAAGGGGGAATGGGCGAGACAGGCAGTACTCGTAATTGGCTCATTGGATACTTAGTACGAGTGTAGCCATCTATGTGTAAAAACAATCGAACAAGTCGACTCACAGTGGGCATGGCGTGTACGTACATGCCATCCCCGGCGGCAATGGGTTAACCCAATGACGCCGGGTGTACTAAAGGAAAATAAAACTCTACGCTCTGGCAAACAAAGGCAGCGCGCCGACTTTGAGCGCCGGAGTACGGGGCGTCAGCCCGAATCACTGGCTCGCCGCCGGCTGGTTTGGCCGCACGCCACCTTTCGAGCGATTTGTTTACACGCGTATCGCCGTCACCCGGCGGCAAGGGGTTAAAAACTTGTAGAACCATCTGTGTGTAAATACAATATATAAAATGTGTTACAGTGGGCATGGCATGTATTCGTGCCACCTGGGGCGAATGGGTTAATCTACATCGGGGAAAAACAAACAATACATCCCGAAATGTTCCCTTTTCACAAAACTTTAAATAAGTCATATAAATATGAAGCTGATCTACCTTTCAGAAGGAGAAGATCAGGTCCACACTCACACTACCAAGTTCCTTTCGTGTTCTAATTCCCTGACCCTCCCTTACTTAGAC